ATATATATATATATATATATATACACACACATACACATACAGGGTATCTGATATATTTTAGATTTTCAAATTCATGACTAATTCCGAGAATTTTTTGACTTAAGGAAGTTACTATTTTCTCTGACAAAAACACAAGAAATTTAAAAAAGCCTTATAATAACAGAAATTGAAAATTGAAATGATAGGTATAACCAAAACTGTTATACCCTGCATCTTCATATTTAAAGATTGTAAATTTAGAAAAACAGAGTAAAGAAAGAGATGAATCAATAAATTAGCTGAAAAAAATACAAAAGCAAAGCAAAAAAATTTTTTCTGCAGAATTATATTCTAAAGATACTTTTCTTGTTCATCAGAAAGGAAAGGAATACTCCTTATTTGTCTGTTCTCATTTCGGAATTAAAAAAATTAGCCAATGGCTGGCTTGCTTCAGCAAGAAATTTAAATTGATAAAATAAAAAAATAAATAATAATTCTGAAATCACAGAAGTTTAAAAGATAATTTGCTATAGAAATGATGATTTTTGTTTCATTTTTTGAAAGAAAACAATAACTTTCAAAGAACATGATAAAAACATTTTATATTTTAATAAAATATGACTGAGTGGGGATTTTATTACAAATTCAGACATTCGGAAAACCACGAAATGGTGGTGGGGGATAGTTTTAAATTCTATTTTAAAAATAAGATTTTTCAGCGACCTAAATCCATGACTTTCCAGGTGCACGGATGTATGTGCGTGTGTATAGATATATATATATATATCAGGGATGAGAGTAGTCAGAAAGTAAAAAAGAGGAAATCCAAAAAACAAACAAAAAGGAAAAAATAAAGAAAAAAAAGAAATATATATATATATAAACAAAAATTTGACAAAAAAGTGCGATTTTTAAACTTGTAAACCATGCGAATATAAATNAGAAAAAAAAGTGAAAATAAATTTAACTAAAATATAAATGTAATCACTAAATCTTAAAATGGAAAAATAAAAAAATATTTGAAACATTTAAAAAAAAAAATTATAAATTTAAAATTATAATTTATCAATAGAAGAGGGAACAAGTAATGTTATAATTTTTAATTTATTCAAATTTGACATAATTTTAAGTCAAATATTGAGAAAATTATAAACAAGAAAAATAAAGTCACAAAAGTATAGAAAAACAATAAATTTTGAAATCTGAAAAATTAATATTAAATCAATGAAATGGCAATATATATATTAAGTCTGTTTTAATAAGTCGTGCGGATAAAATTATTAAATTATAGAATAATTAATTAATGATTTGAATTTAAATTGGATGCGCTTTAAATCACACAAAAATAAAGAAAACACAATAGAATGGAGAAAAAAAAGATTTAATTTAATAATGAATAAATACTAATCTAACATTATCTGAAACCAATTAAAAGGAAAGCACCTTTATGATTTAAAATTTTTTTAAACTAAAATAAAGCACTGTTAACATATCACATGATTATAAAACTTTTAAATTAATATTACATTTTAAATAGTGAAAATTTATCAAATTATCAATTAACTGAAGGAAAAGTAATAAATTTTGTATTTACTTTTAGAAAGAAGGAAAAAGTAACTCTAATCTGAAATTGCTGATTGCAAAATTAAGATGTAAAGAAAAAGGCAGAAATATCAATCATTCTACCAAATGGTGAACATTGCTGGTCTAGTTATCAGTTTATATCCACAGTCACCAGATTGCTTTGACAGGTAAATTCCACCCTGTGTCAGTAGAAAATGCTTGTCATTACTAACTGCTATTACATTGCTAACTGCTTATGTCATTAAAAGGTGATTCGTTTAATGGCAGATGAAACATTTTTTCGTGTTCCTTTTCTCATATTTATGTTTTGTTCCGAATGCTTCTCCATTTGTAGTAAAACCATTTTTTTAATTTTGATACGCACTTTCCTACTCTCCCAGGATTTTTGAAATTTCATCCATTTGTATATCATGTTGGATATTCAGGATTTCTTTTATTTTGGAAAACTTTCCGCGCAAACCTCTAACAGTATAAAAAAAACAAGTTATTTTTCAGAAATTTCCAGTGAAGAGCACTTTGTTTGAAGCTCGTGTGATCGCGGTATAGAGTCTGAAAAATGTTCCTTTTTTTACATTTCAAGACTCATTATTTTCATCGATTTTACAATCTTCAGTTTTACCGGTAAAGGTGTTTTGAATTTTTTCCCACAGAATTTTAGCACTTGTCTCATTTGCAAACTAAAGACTATGGTCAGCAGAAAGCAAAAGTTGAATATACGACACAGCAACCATCATCATTTCTTGCTCATCTTCCCTGGGGCAGACATTACGGCCTTCTTAAATTATAAGTTTCATGTATTTTCTAACAAAACATTTATGTGATGCTTTATTATTTTAAATAATTTAACTTCCATGAATCCTAATGAAACATATAAATTGATATAACGAAACGATATCTTGCAGCATTAAAATATAAAACAGCGTTCATCAAACTTTTATAGGTGTATAAATATTTAATATTAAACCATTGGGTAATCATTTGATTGCAATATGTCGAGCGGTAATGATTATGTTGAATTTTCTGTATCACAAAGTATTAAAGCAATGTGGCTTTAAAAAATGGTGGTTTCACTATTCAGGGTGCGTAGCCAACTCTCTCAACAAAAATTAAGCACCTTTTAAACAATTTTTAAGCACTCAAAAAATATTTTAAAGCACTATCAGTGTTTTCATCATAGAAAAAAAATGGGTGAGAATTTCTCACCCTTTCTCAAAAACAGGGAGAGATTTCAGAAAGTTAAGTGAGATTTCTAAAAACTAAAAAAAACACAAAAACTCTTGAAAAAAAAAATCATTTCCTTAATTATAATACATTTTTAATGCCTTCTATTTTTCAAAGCATTGAATATTTTTGCTGCATCATCATAGAAGATTTTGCTTTTACAATGTATTTTTCCATTTTACAACAGTGCATAAAAAACTTGAACGTCTTACATGAGGAAACCTTACCTACGGTAAACACGTGGTTGCAGAGAAATGTGTTCTGAAAGGGGTTCCGTGGTTCGGAAGGGTAGGGCAGATGTTGAAAATAATGAAAGATCCAGGAAGAAAAGTGAAAGGGATTTTACTCTAAATAGCGTAATGCGAAGCTTTTTCCAAAATGCAAATTTTGAAATTGATTTATAGAATGAGCCAATTTCTCGCGGTAATAATTTTTTAATTCGAGAAAGAAAAAAAAATATGAGAGATTCTCGCGCTGTAGTGAAAACACTGACTATATACATTAACAAAAGTCAAAATAATTTTCAAAGACTTTAGATGATCATGAGAAAATAACTAGTTTCTGACAAAGAATTCTTTTCCTGATTGTATTACCCACGCTAAAACGATCAAGACTTTTGGGTTCAATCTCAGAGGGTGGAAAATGAAGTCTGAAATTGAGGATATCTTGCAAAATGCAGCAGAGTTGCGCATGAGTGTGTAAGAATCTCACAGAACCCAGCTCAGTAAACGCACATGTGGTCTCCCAAGTATTTCATCTAACATGATTGGGGTGCTATCATACGTTGCGGGTCGACGGTGCGCCGAAATGGATTGTGGTTGAATGATTTGTGGAAACGTTGAATAGAACAAAAGTGAAAACCACGGTTTTGCATCAATACAGCGAAGGAAAAATTCTCATTTTCGAAAAGGAAAAATTAAGCACTTTTTAAAAATATCCCATGAAAAAAGCATCTTTAAGCACTTTTTAAAAATGCTACACCCCATGTTATTAGTATCTTTTAGCATGAGCAAATTTAGCTACTGATTTTAAAATAAGAAATCATGTCCTGACATTGATACACAAGCAGAAAAAAAAATTTAGGCTAGTAAAAGAGAATCAAATTTAGGCAAGTAAAAGAGGATCAAATTTCGTTAAGTAAAAAGACAAGAAAAAGAGAATAAAATGTATTTCACAACAGCCAATTCCATTTCTTTTCGTGTCAGCGAATATTTTGACAGATTCTTTCACCTGTTAAACCAATTAGTAGCAGGGTTCGTTGATTTAAATCATGATTAAAATCAAATGATTTTTTAAAAAAAATCATTGATTTAAATCATTGGTTCTCAACGGGGGCGATACCGCCCCCCAGGGGGGCGCTGGGACTATGCTGAGGGGCGGTGAGCTTGTTTTGGGCAGTAGGGGGGCGTTGGGTATGTTTTGGGCGGTAGGGGGGCGTTGAGCACGTCTTGTCATTCAAATTTAATTTTAAAACTTACAAATAAAATTATTAAATTAAGATTAATTTAATAAAAAATTTTATAATAAAGAAAAAAAGACTAAATTAATATAATAAATCAAGATTATCCTATACACTATTTGAAACAGCAATAAAACGAACTTATACGGCACCTATTCTTCGATCCGAACCAACACAGCTCAGCGCATGAGCCAGTAGTTTTTGTCTCTGACTCATTCAAGCCATTTGGTGCAAATTGCAGTACATGCGCTTTCAGTATGAATGTTTGATTGGACCCGTGTTTCTTATAATGGTTTTCATTAGTTTTCTTGCGGTTTTTTCCCCAGTTTCGATTAGATCTCATAGTTTATTTGGCCAGGTAAGTACGCGAATTAGTTCTTTATAGTATCATAAATCATTTATTAATTTTGAGAAATAGTTGATTTTCTTTCATCGTTTGTATTTCGCTGNAAAAAAAAAGAGATCACAATTTTAAATTAAAATTATGGTGTGCTAATTGAAACTTTGTGTTACTAGTTAAAGTAGTATTCTTTAAATTATCTATTTTATCTTGTCTTTTAATTTCAATCATGCCCTTGTATCAAAATGGTCGCTATGCATTATAATGAAAAATTATTTTAGCAAGTTAGAGCTTCTAAAATATTGTTATAATATAGTTTTAATTTTGATTAAACATTTATAAGGTTTTTTTAATCATAAATTAAAGCTCTTATAGTGTTTTGAATAGAAATCAAAAAAATCTGATATAAATCAAAATAATCCGATTTAAATCAAAATAATCCGATTTGTTCGATTTTTTTAAAGAAAAATAAAAAAAATCACGAACCCTGATTAGTAGTTACATTTCAGACAGGGCTTGTTACTATACTAACAACTCAAATCGAATTTTCATCAAAAATCATGTAGTATATATATCCTATGTGACCTTACCTTCAAAGTTGAAATACTGATGTCCACTATCCCCTACTTCTCGATCCAGAATGTCTGAGTGGTCGAAATCTTGAGGAGTAGCCATATTTCTTTCAATGCTGTCATCACTCAGTGCTTTGCGACACGTCGGACACGACGTGTCCTGTTCCAGCCACGATCGCAGGCAGGCGCTGTGGGCGAAATGTTAGCAGTTAATACACACCTTCACTGAATTTTCTTCAATTGGACTTCAATAATAGAAATCATTCGGAAAAGGATCGACATCAGATGATAGAAATTTCTGGATATCGTTTTTTACTCTAAGCTAGTGTTTCCCAAAGTGTGGTACGTGTACCCCTAGGGGTACGGGAACAGTTTAGCAGGGGTACGCGATCTTATGCGAAATATCTAGCAACAAACGAAAATTTCTTAAAATTTTATTTTATGATTACGTATTTTTGTATTGGCTATTTTTTGCAGAGTTAACAGTTAATAATGACTGGTGTCAACAGCCAGTTCTGATTTTTAACTTTTGAGCAATTTTTTTATAGTAAAAAATACATTCATTTTTTTATTAGTGGTACACAGCATTACCACTTGCCGACCAAACCGCTACCGTGCTGACCAAACCGCTACCTGCAGATTTGTCAGTGGGCATACTAGGAGCCTCACTTTCAGATGACAAATTAAACTTTTTCCATCTTGTAAAAAGTGCAACTCCAGCGAGGCTAGTCCTCACCATCTATTGCCTGGATTTCACCATGGAAGAGGTTCTTGAGAGACCTCTACTTTTCCTCGAATTTTTGAAGACTCACGGCCTCATGGATCTGGTATAGCTCCGCTATCCCAGCTGGGATTGGAAACAATTACACATTGCTCTAAGCAACTCAATAAACTCAAAATTGAAGGGACATTTTAATAAAAGACACTATTAAAATATAGTTTTTTTAAAAATAATTTTGTTTTTATAGGACCACTTAATGAATGTCTTTTTTTAAAAATAGAAATAAAGATATTTTATTTCAAAGTATATTTTTATTATACTGCCTCAGGTAGAAAATAAATTTTAAAATTAATTAAAAAATAAATTTTACTAAATTGGAGATTAACATCAAAATAATTATTTTATTTGCCTTCAACAAATGTTTTATCAAAATCTCTTACTGCCTTTTACTTTTTTTAAAAAATTATTTTGGTTTATTTATTGATTTACTTATTTTTTTCATTTATATCAAAAGGTTAATGTAATAAAAAGTGCAAGAGTGAAAAAATAATTGATTTAATAGTCAACTATAAGAATAGTTTGTCTAAAGTAAGAACTCCCGAATATGGTAATTGGCAGCGAATATGGTAATAAGGTAAAACTAATACAGTAGGGGTGTGGAGTTACTATTTAGGACAGGTTTGGCATTTCTTCAGTCTATTGAATTAGCCCTAGAGAGAAGAGATGCTAACCTCCCTAAAATGCGCTATTTTTGTTTCCATAACAGTAGACGGTTCCAGACTTTGTGACCAGGGGAGTTCTTTCAGTAGACAAACTATAGGTAAGTCTGTTATCCAATATATTGGTCATATACAAACATTATATCATTTTTATTAAGCACCTTCCCTAAACATAACGACAAATTTTAAATTCAATACAAAATATATAACAATGTATATTAAAAATATTGGATTTTTAAAACTATGTGAAAACTAAAAGCAAAAAAAAAAAAAAAAAAAAAAAAAAAAAAAAAAAAAAAAAAACTGATAAAGAAAAAAAAAAACCAGATGGAAGTAAATACTAAAAAAAAGCGTCAAAAAGTAAATACTGAAATGCGCAATTTGAATTTCCCACATTATAAGAAATATACTGCAGCCACATCTAGAATTATGTATTGATATCAAACTTACTCATATATTCTTTTTGTATAGAAAAATAAACTTTTTTAAAGTTTAGATAAATATCTTTGTAGATAGTTATTGTAGATTATTTAACTAGTATTTCTATATAGTTGAAAACATTGTAAAAACAATTTAGGGTGCTAAAGTTTGTTATTTCGGTATCCTTCCCGTAAATGGAAAAACTTTTTAGTCCCAAGACTGTCCACTTAGCGGAGGTTTCACTGTATACACACAAAATGTTTTGATGTCTGATAGTTTTATATATCTGTATTTCCACAATAGGAATTTTTCACCCTTGCATTATTTTTATCTTTTGAATCGATTTATTTTTACTTTTTAAATAACTTTATTCTCAATGCATATAAATTATTTTTGAAGAATCTTATAGTTTGTTTGCAACAAAATATAGTAATTTGTTTTGTAAGGTATATATGCACCTAACAAATTATTTTTGTCTGCAATTAAATTTCAACAAGGGAAATCTTTAAAATATAAATATTGTTTTAAATGATTTTAATTCTTATGATTTTTAAAATTAGAAATTACTCTTTATACTTTTTATGAGTGGTCTTTCACTATCACACAGTACGTCATTTATACCTCAAATAGCTTGATTTCATTCTTATATTCTTTTTTGTTCTGCTACGAAACTAAAAACAAACTTACTGGATAACTAAAAACTAAACAAAACTAAATAAAACAAACTTACAGGACTGTAATAAACGTAATTAACACATTTCTAAAGAGCATGTTGTTACCACTTACATAAAACTAAATCATATCAGGGCATGAATTCTATTTCACAAATTCACTTGACATTGAAAAAATATATATATCGTTCTTACAATATTTAGCCCGTGCCAATCCTATGTGATACAAAATATACTTTTATGCGCCAAATATATGCCGAACAAAACATACATTTATATTTATTTTCAATTTTTTAAAATTCAAGTTTTATTTATTTCGGTAATTTTAAAACAAATTAATGAGTTGCAAAACACTGGTAGTAGAAATATTCAAACTTTTTATTGAAATGCAATTTCCATCATATTTTGTTTAAGACTAATCAATTTAGATTCCTTAATTTTAATTCTTAGGTGCTTCCATTTAAGATAACCGTCTTTCCCACTAATACAGTAAAACCTCGGTACAACAATATTTTGCGGACCAAACAAATATTGTTGTAGAGAGATATGTTATATAGAGGACCTACATACTTTGGAGACACAATAAGATTTTTTTAAAAATTTTTATGTTATATATGTATTAACTATAAATATATTTATATATTAACTATAAATATATTTATATATTATGTAAAAAATTAATTTGCAGAGTGTCAATAATTATTAAATATTAAAAACAATTGAAATAATGAATAACATCGTAAAATAACAGCAGAATCATACCTGAAAATGGTTTTTATTGAAAATAATCAGATATTTTTGTTTGCTTATACAATTTTTTTTACCGTTAAGTCAACCAACAAAGTATGCATCGAATCCAAAGCAGGAAAATGATTTTCGTTTGTGATTAGTGCCCCATCCACCCTCTATGAAAAAATTATCTTTCAGGTGTATTTGAGGTACATCAAAACATTTTCTTTTATATATTTGCGATTTGTTAAAGAAACCTATGAAGGGATGAGAATTGTCTGTTTTTTCACTTTATGATTTCCAAAAGACTTCTTTTTTTTTTTTCAATTTGAATCAGATATCAATAGGGAAAAAATTGGATATCAGGGAAACTAAATTTGGCATTTCATTACAGAGCGGAAAAAATAGTGTATTTTTTCCCTCGTATAAAGGGATTATTACTGACAAGAATCAAATTTTCAGAACTCTTAAACATTTCCCATTTTGAAAAAACTGAGGATTTCAGAGTAAATTGTCAGGACTAAAGTGATTCATTAAGTGATTATTAAAAAGATGCGATTCGGAATTCACAGATTTTATTAATATATAAAAACTAAAATCGAAATTTTAAATATGGTGGATGCCCCAAACTGTTGAGGATGCGATCGACAAAAAGTAATTTTACAAATGCGATATTTGAAATTTCCCGTGTATGATAATGTAGCTTAAAAAAAAACTCATGAAAATCACTTACAATAGCTGACAAAAATGCGATCATAAATCTGCAGGTAAATCGTCAATAATTGAGTGCGAAATGCGTGTCACATGAAATAATATAGTATTATAACATCGAGATTTTAAAAACCAAGCAAAAATCAGTTTTAATAACTACCGAAAAAAATATCGGAAAAACCACACGGATTCACTCGAGAATGAGTCACTAATGGTGTGGATTGAGAAATGATTGCTCAATCAAATGCGTGAATCGAAATTTGCGGTATGTTATAATGGCACATTAAAATATCGAGATTTTAAAAACCATCTAACAGCTGCGAAGGCAAAATCATATGAATTTATTCGTTATTGATTGAAAGTGACGTTAATGATCGTTAATTTGCTTTTTTTTTTCTTTGAATAAGGATGTTTGTTTACTGTAAAATTCACTGCTTGCCGAAGTACCGACCATTTCGGATATGGGACTTTCCACTAGAAATGCTATTCAGTAAATGGAGCTGAAGAGAAAATTTTTGGAGTTAAAATAACATAAACAAGGAAACTTTAGTAAAAAAATATAAAACATCGATAACTTCAGATGATTAAATAAGTGTTGATCAAAAATTAAATTTAGTACCCCACTTTCGACTTTCATTCTGGTAAAGTTTTTAGCATTACAACATTGTAATTCATTTCTTTTGTCACTCAAAACTGACACTTAAAAACAAGACAAATATCACATCAAACAGAACATTTGAAAGACTATCAAACAATGGCGTTTTGACGTATATAGATTGCAAGACCAAATTTACGTATTAGCTTAGGGGCTGAGAACTACAGGGGTTTCCAACATTTAAATATCTTTTTTTAGCCTCGCTGGGACCTGTTCAAAATTTGCATGGGTCCCCAAAACCCAAAATATATTTTAATTGCGTGGCACTGTTCATAGTTGGCAAATCAACAAAAAGGATTCCTCCACAACTTTGTTGTCTGCCCCCCCCCTCTAATTATTGTGCTTTCTAGCCTTTCTTGGTTTCGAATTTCTAAGACCATCTTCATATGAAAACATTAACTAAATTAGAGGATGTTTTAGATTGATGTCGCACACAGGGTTGGGTTTTTACAGGTAAAAACCAGGTAAATAGTATTAAGTGATGTGATTCATTGGCAAATAATGGTTTATTATTTATAACTAAAAGGAATGTCTATTATTTCTATATTATAGATCAGGGGTG